TTAATTCTAAAGAGAAGGGCCTTGTTCCTGACATGATATTGAAAATGATTTTGCCTAAAAACATGCTTGTAATTTTAAAATGGAAAAGACCTTAAAATGTCTCAAATATCAAACAAGTATACAATGTTCTTGCCCAAAAGAACAAGGCGATAAAAGGTCATGATCTAAAATGCAACAATAATTGAAGCTTTTGGAAGATGATCATATTTTATCTAGGTACATGGTGTATGGGGATGGAGAAACTGTTTGAGAAATATTTTGGACTCATCCTGATTCAATTAAGTTTTTCAACATATTTCCCACTGTGATGATAATTGATTAAACATATAAGACTAACTAGTATAGACTTCCAATTTTGGAAATTATTTGTACTACTTCTACAAAGATGACTTTTTCAGTTGGGTTTGCATTTTTGGAAAGTGAAAAAAAGGATAATGTAACTTGGGCTTTGGAAGTGTGTCAGACTATGTTGGAAGACCAAGAAAACATGCCACAAGTCATTGTCACTGGTCGTGATACACACTGATGAATTTGGTTGCAAAGGCTACACTATATGCATTACTTTGTAGGTATCACATAATAAAAAATGTGAGAAGTAGACTTAAGCCCGCGGTAAGGACCAAAAAAATTGAGGATGGAGATGTGAAAATGGTCAAAGATGGTGTGATATTGCAAAGCATAATGGATGTCTGGAATATTTTAATAGAATTCTTCTACAAAAAAGTTATATGTTGAATCTGTCATACATTTCAGGAGGGTGTGTGAGAAATATCTGAATTTCTTGACATATGTTAAAGTACAATTCTAGACAAGGTGAAGGAGAAAACTATATGTGATTGGACTGATCAGGTTAGACACTTTTGAAATACAACTAATAGAATTGAATCTTCTCATCTTATCAAAGAGTTGGAGGAGTATAAGGAATCGTAGATGAAGATATACAAAAAAAAAGAACAATACGATGAAATTTATGAATATTTAATTCCTTGTGTTATCGGTCCAACGCGAAAGGTAAAATGCATGTATTTTCCAGAAATTGATCATCTTATTGCAAGTGCGCTTAACAAGGCGTGTATCAATTTGACAAGATATGGATTGTTGGAAACATTTTTTCTACTTCGAAATGACCCACCTCAAAATCCAACTGGACGCATAAAGTGTATTGGATGACATTCAAAATCACAACATTGTGTTCAATTTTATTTAAGATTGGGATGTTCTATACCATATATGTCCTCAGATTAGACAACTCATTCCACAAAAGAAGATGAAACTTGGTTGAAAAACTTTTTGGATCGAATGGAAGAGTTTACCAAGTTGAGCGAGATTGAAAGAAAATCAACTTAACAAAAGTCAAAAGTGAAACCATCCACATATATATATATATATATAGATTTATGTGGTGACACATGTTTATACATTTTAGTTTTATTGTACAACGTGTTTAGGCGGAGACTCATTTTTTATATGTAATGTTGAATTGTTATTTTCAACAATATAATATGGACACATTTTGATGTGTTTTAATGTATATCTAACATTACTCGTATTAATATTAGATGTGTATAAGTATGCATCAACATCTCACATTTGTCTACTTCAACGACAAGATCTCCATCTTGAATTTAGGGTCATAGAGAACACCACTCTTGTCGATCTGAAATCCAAACTAGAGAATCTCTTGCGATACTCAGGAAATCAAAGAGTTGTAAAGCTCAATTATCATTTACCCTCGATTGACAGTGAAGAGAAGATACAATTTACCAAGTTTGAGTTGAAGACATATGAAGATTTAAAGGTTATGTGTAGTACATTTCATTGTTGTAGAACTAATCACCCGATCAATATGGATGCGAGGGTTGTGAAATTGACTAACAATATTCTAAAGATGTTGAAACATCCCCTGCGAGGGTTGTAAAATTGACTAACAATATTCTAAAGATGTTGAAACATCCCCGACCATATCTTGATGATGAAATGTAATGTTAGTTTCAAGTTAACAAAAATCTATGTAATGTTACAATTTTATGTATGTCAAATGAAAGATTTATGTTAATTTATGTTGTTATAACAATTTATGCAATTGATTATGGTATGTGGTTAGGCATGACAACATAGTCCGTGCTCGTGAGTATCCAACCAAATCCACCACGAGTTTGAAAGGGAAAATCTGTTTTGACTGAATTTGTATTTTTCATAATTACAAAATATAGGGTCGGGTCGAATAATGGAGGATGTTTGTTGAAAAAAAAAACAAAGCATAGAGAAAAAAGAGGAACACAATCACAACACAAGAACATAACGTGGAAACTCCAAAATCAGAGAAAAAACCACGACCATTGTCAATAGACAACCAGAGAATAACACAATATAAAACTTATTACACACATAATATACCCCCAACTAACTCATGCCTCCTATAAAACAAATATTTAACTATATCTCACAACACTCTAATACAATAGTATAAGAGAACAAGGAAAGTCAAATACAAACTTAAAGTACTTTTGACCGATGCATTTTGGAATGAAGAATTTGAATCCTATATATAGCATTGAACTTCATCTTCCTTCACAAAACTAAGTGATGTGGGACTTTAAAGAACTTATATCCTATATATAGTCTTGAACTATCTCTTCATTCACAAAACTAAGCGATGCGAGACTTCTTCAACTTGTGTATTGTCAACTAACCCCAACAATCTCCACCTTGATTGAAAATAATACATAAGCTTTCATTGTCTTCATGGACAATCATACTCTACCATAAAGAGTATCAACATGTATATTTTTAACCAACCCCAATAATCTTCACCTTGATTTAAAATAATACATACACTTTCTGTCTTCATTGACAATCATACTCCATTATAACGAGTATAGTCAATTTAAGCTACACCACTCCAAGAATTTTCACATTGTCTTCACCGACAATTATAGTTTTAAAAACTATTATACTCTCTCATGAAGAACATATTTCACTTGAAGATAAATCACTTCAAGAATTTCATATTGTCATCACTGACAATCATATATTTTATCATGAAGAATAAATTCCACTTGAAGTTAAACCACTCCAAGAATTTCACATTGTCTTACCGACAATCATAGTTTTAAAAAACTATCATACTCTCTCATGAATAATATATTTCACTCGAAGATATACCACTTCAAAAATTTTACATTGTCAAAAACCAAGTTGGAACATTATGGTGTAACTTCCTTGTTGGCAGAAGCTCTTCAACCACCGACATAATCTTGTATCTCGTGTAGTCTTGATTGTATAAACACATCTTTGACTTGAACTTTCCACAAGTAAAAAAAAGTTCTTCCATCCATTTTTCTCTAGCTCAAACAGCACAACGGAATTTTTTATTGTAGCGCAACAACTCTTTCACAACATTACCCTTCTTTTCTTATGTTGAAGATCAGACAAAATTGCAACCACAAAGCATACTAAGAACATTTATCCCCATATCGAACCAAAAACTTTGATACCAGTTGTTAGAAAAAACAACAAACAAAATATAGAGAAAAAAGATGAACACAATCACGACCTAAGAACATAACATGAAAACTTTAAAACTGGAGAAAAAACTACGACCGTTGTCAATAGACTACCAAAAAGTAACACTATGTGAAAATTGTTACAACACATAATATACTCTCAACTAACCCAGACACCTAGTACACCCACACCCTCCAAAACAAATATTTAACTACATCTCATATCACTCTAATACAAGAGTATAAGAGAACAAAGAAAGTCAAATACAAATTTAAAGTGTTTTTGACTATTGCATCTTGGAATAAAGAACTCAAATCCTATATATAGCATTTGACTACACATTCCTTCACAAAACTAAGCAAGATGAGACTTCAAAGAACTTATATTATATATATATATATATATATATATATATATATATATATATATATATATATATATATATATATATATATATATATATATATATATAACCTTAGTCTCTCTTCATTCACAAAACTAAACAATGTGAGACTTCTTCAACATGTATATTTTCTATCAACCCTAACAATCTCAACCTTGATTGAAAATAATATATAAACGTTCATTGTCTTCACCGACAATCATACTCCACCATAAAAAATTTCAACATATATGTTTTCAACCAATCTAAGAATTGTCAACTTTTGAAAACAGAATAATGAAACGCAATTATTGGTATATAAGTATAAGTATGAGTTTTACATTAGATAAAAAAATAAATATTAAATATTTTATAAGTTAAAAGCTCATAGATTTAATGTCTTAATATTTTGAATTAAGATATTGTCCAACTAACCATATTTTCCAACTAATTTTATGTAAATGTTCGGAGTTCAATATAATAATTTTTAGACTCCCTCGTAACACAACCACAATTAATCCTTTTAACAAGTCAACCGTTACACATAAATCTCATAAATCCTGCTTGACCTCCTTAAAAAAAATTAATAAGTTTGAAATTCACCCATGTGTCCCTAAATTCTTATAACTACCACAATTACACACAACTTTTTTTTTAGTCCTAGTTGTTGATCACCTTAAACAACATGACTTATCCATAGAAACCAATTTGAATTAAATCAACACAACTCCACACACATCATTAAAACCTTCCATTCCATAACCCTGGTTACTCTCTTTTCTATATTTGTTAACACCTTCCATTCCACTATAACCCTGGTTACTCTCTTTTCTAGATTTGTTAAGTGCAATACTAATTTCAAAAAATTAAAACTAAAATTAACATAAATACTTCAAATCATTTAAAAGTAAACCATTTTTTTATCAATAATTATTAAACTAAAAAAATTGATTAAGACTTTTTTCAAAGAGTATTGCTACATATTTTGCTAATCAAAGATTGAACTTTTTAATCTCATTTATAAATATTAAACAATATAAATTAGGCCATTTTAAAAATAAACAATATCATAAAATGACAACACAAGTAGCATAACGCAGAACAAATCGGAATGTGGAAGAGAGGTTTACTCGGCGCCGTCGGCGCAATCCACCACACACGTTCCTTAGCAACTCGCGGCGGAGCCACCATATCATCCGCCGTAGACTCTATGATTCTCCGCTCCCTCAAGGATCATTACATGGAAGTAGCCAAAATGAACATGCCCCCTGTACTCTCTCTCTCTTAATCTCAATAATTTGAATCTTTTTCTCTGTTAGGGTTTAGGGTTTAACCTTTATACGCTGACGTCACATGTTAATGGCAGAAAGTGAGTCCTCCGTCATCCTTCACCATTGTGAAGGGAGCACTTGATTCGGAGGGTCCAGTTTTGAAGCGAAATCACGGCGACGAAGAGGTTAGCATTTACGTGATGCGATTGGCGAATGTCGATGATGAACAAAGCGGTGCTATGGATCAGTTGTTCATTCATGTTGATGTATCGAAACCTGAACAGAAGGAATCGTTGAATTTTCTTTGTGCTTTATATGAAGATGCTCTTGGGATTCACTCTGTTTCTATGAGGCCGAAGCTTCAACAATCGGATGGATATATTCTTGCTCCCACTGATTATGCTGGTCCTGTTTTTGAGTATGTTTTCTCAATCTCTTCTCTGTTATGAATTGTTGATAAACTAGGGTTTTATTCTGCTAATAGCTTTTTTTTTTTTGGTGTGTGTTAAGTGTGTTTGTTTGATAGTGAAATGTATAATCCTGTTATAGGGTATTTTAGATGGAGTGTGTAGCAATGTAAGGTGAAAAAAGATAAATGAAAATGGAGAATTAATTGGGGAGAATGGTTTTGGATATGTTTGATGAGTAGAGAATATTTTCTATATGGTATGGAAGCTATAAAGCCCCAATACCCTGAACTCGACACTGACAATAATTTGAAAATACAAATAGTTTAAATGTAATCACAAGTGTCTCACACTGACAGTACAGACACATCATTTTTTAGAGGTGTCGATGCTATATAGTATGCAAGTAACTGAGTTTTGGGATTTGAAGAATGGAGTTGAATTACAATTTCCTCTAATAAACACTCTTCCGTTTTTGTAATTCAGGTTTAGGCTTATGTTGATTCTAGGGGAGATTAATGAAAATGGAGAATATTAGTTGTGAAGAATGGTTTTGGATATGTTTGATGAGGAGAGAATACTGTCTTTATGGTATGGGTATGTATTTGAAAATTGCCAAAACACTACTTTTTTGTATATGAAAATGCATTCTTCCTAGTTTGTTTTCCATATTCTCCCTATCACAATTGTCCAATACATGTGTTCTCCATCTCCTTCTTAGCAATTTAATATGAAAATAAATTTTAGAAACAAAAACAAAAACATTTTCAGAAAGTAAACAGGGCCTTAATTTGCCAACCCCTCCATAAGCTTTATATATAAATATCTTGTACCCATTTTCTGAAATATTGTGATTGTGTTTTATTTTTATCATGAAATATTGTGATTGTGTATTGTGTTTTATTTTAATTTTTACGGTAACTTACCGAGAGTTCTTAATAACTGTCAATGTGAATACTTCATTTATATGCTCTTTTGTGGCTGACCTAAGATAAGAAGGGTTAAACTAAAATCAAATTGCGGAATTCTGTTTTGCATAAACAAGTAGATCTTATTTTGTTGGATAATATGAACATCCATGCTGCTTCTGAATTGCCTAGTTTGTCCTAAACCGCATCTTCTGGTTTCTGTTATAAATTTCAATGTTTATTAGTGGAAAATTAGGAAGTTTGTGGGCACTTTTTGACAGACTTTATGTAAATTGACAGAGAACTAGATGAAAAGATGAGAGATGCTTTTCACAATTACATAGAGGAGCGAGGCATAAACGATAGCCTCTTTAAATTTCTTCAAGCATGGCTATATGTGAAGGAACATCGAAATTTAATGCGTTGGTACAAGACAATGGGCTTGTTCATTGATGGGAAGAAGCCAGCTACAGGTGCTTAGTCCTATGTATTTTGCATATGAGATCCTACAGTATACAAGTTATGTATTCCAAACTTGGTGAATTTTGCTCATCTTTTTTTCTACTTAAATTTATTCTTTTGATAATACTTAATTTTATAGGTGACTACTTAATTAAGGATGTTAGGCTTTTTAGTTTTCTAGAAAACTTGATTTGAGAATCTTAGATCATCTACTTAGTATGGTTGATGGATCTATCAAAGCTTTTTATGAAGCCTGAAACTTCGATTGAACATTGTCTAACTCGCACACTAAACTGTTCGTAAGTAACTCTAATTCAACATCAGAGGGAAACTATATCAATTTAATTATTTGTGATGTGATATTGCTATAAAGATCATGCATTATAAAATTTCAGGTGAATTTTGTTTTAAAGAATTGAATGCGATAGTTGATAATATTAGCCATTTTTCGCACCATTTTTTCTCTCTCACACTCAATATTCACTCTGTGATTAAGCAAAAACAGAGTAAAAGATGTAAAACAAATATGAACATTAGGATTTTCAATACTTCAGTATATCCAGGAGCTTTGTAAGAATTCCAAAGATTTCTTTATTATATCTTTTGATTCTGTAATATGATTTCACAAAGGTAACAAATCAGTAAACCATTTAAAACACAATTCAACATACTTTGGTTCAATTGATGTAACTGTAATATAGAAAATAGTGTGTATATGTGTTTAGTCATTTTCACATTTAGTGATGGAAATGATTCTTAGCTCTTAAATCTATAACAGGTGAGGTATATTTATTTATTTACACACTCCGGTTAGGAAAATCTATTATTATTATTTTTTAAATGAAAAGAGACATATTCATAAATGATAAATTACTCATCTTACAGATTTATTTTCTTCAATATACATGATTAAGCAATTGAACTCAAGTGTGGTTAATGAGAAGCAGTTTTGATTAGCCAAGTTGTACTATTGTATCAGAACATTTCAGGTGACTTTTAATGCACCTTGACCTCAATTCAAAATAAGGTGAGACTTTTAATGTATCAGAACATTTGTCCCATTAGAAATTAAGGGGTAAGTATGCTAATCTCGAATATGTGGATCCGACTCCTCTTTTTAGCGTCAATGTACATTCCAATCTGATCTCTCAGGTATACTCACAATTGCAATTAGGTCATGCACGAAAATCTATTATGATTTTATCCTTTTAATGAGGTGAATCCTCAATTGAGGATTTTGAGTATTTTCAAGTGATGTAATATTTTTTAGTGCACTAAAAATAATAATGAAAATAGCTTGCTAATTAAAACAAATAAAAGAGTCAAACTATTTATTTATTTTATTTTTTCTTATTATATATAAAAATTATTTTAATAATATTTTATTTATTGGCGACCAAGATATACTTTGAGTAAAACAAGTAACATAGACCACTCTGACACAGAAAGTATTTTGAATTGTGAATAAAACAAGTAACAAAATCACACATTAATCATTCTCCGTTAACATTTATTCCATCATCATTGAATTTATTGAAACATTCCTCAATTTGTTTCCAAATATAGTAACAAAAAACAAGATCTCAAATCCATTGAAAAACCATGTTTTAATTGAACCAATTACGAGTTTGATTTGGCCATTGAAACTGTCCCATGTAGTTACTCGGCATCAAACGCTTCAAATTTGATTCAGCATCAACTGTAGACAAGACATTGTTGTTGTTTGATTCATCTTGAAATTGTTTTTGAAGCTTATCAAAAGCAATCTGAGTTTGAGTTTGAACTTTGGCCAACTCAACTTGTGTATCATGGATTTGTTGATACAATTTAGAGATAATTCCAACACATCCATAAACAGGATCTTGAATCCTACTTTTTGCTTCTAAATACAAACTATTTGCAGCATCTTCTCTTACATAATATGGCAATTGCTGCAACATTAAATAAAAAAAATCCACAATGCCAAATTAGATTATAGCAAATTGTACTGCAAATTTATATAAGAGTTTAGATTTATATAACAGTTTAGTTAGTAGCTGTATCTCGACAAGAATGCGAATTCGAACCCGTGATGGACTCGGGTCATTAAGTTGTTTAAAAAAAAATAATTCTATAAAATATTTTTTTTGCAACTTCAATATATATTTTCCATACAATAAATTATATTATATTATATTATTATTAAAAGTACCTTAAGCATTTTTCCAACATTGCTACCACCATAGATTTTGTGAACATAAGCAAATCTTTGAGGATCATTGGGAGGGAAATAAGGAGAGAAAATGCAATTAGAAGGACATTTTCTTCTTTGATTCTTGCAAGCAGCACATCTGCCATAAATCATGATATCAAAATCAAATCCAAATAGAAAATATATTTTTTCTAGATTTTTGCTCTTGTAATCTTTCACAAAATCTTGTGAATGATTTATATTGTAGTTACTATGTTCAATAAGGAAATTCAAACGGCTATGTTACTTGATAATGGTAATTCTTAGAAGGAAAGTTTTTGTGTTAAGTGTGTGAAATTTGTGGAGGTGCATTGAGCAAGAATTGGCTATTAGAAATTCGAAATAGAAAGGAAAGTAATAAATACTTAGTTTTTTTTTTATTAACCGTTTGATATTTAGAGAAAAATATTCTTATGATATAAAGTTTGGACAAAACATAAGTAAAATTAGACAAAATATAATTTTACCTAAAATTCAAACTCGAGTTTTTATGAACAATAATTAATCTTTAAATTGAAATCATTAAGCACTTTGATTTTATAAGTATTTATTTAGTTGAAAGCTTATTTTGTATTCCTTCTAAGAAAACTCAAAAATTAATTGAATAGAAAATACGATAGATAATCACAATAAACTGAAATAATCAGAAAGAGATAATAAAAAATAGCTAATTTTCAGTTCTCAGGCATATTTACAAAATTAATCACTCTATTTTGTTTTTAATTTGTTTCATTTTAATAATTTTTTTTAATACGTGACAATTAATAGATGAAGTGGAATGTGTCACATGAATCATTTTATAAGACATGTATTTGCATTATATTAAATCAAAACATATTAAAAGAAATAAACATTAAACAATTTGAAATAATTAAATTCTAAGTTCCAAAATCAATTATAAAGTAAAGAAGAAGAACAAAGCACCAACCATGAAGGAAAAGATACATAGTTCTCCTCTAATTTTTAAATTGAAAGACGAAATTATTTGAATGTTTGAAACTAGTATTTACTGTAATTTTGTTCTCAATCCATTTTGTATTTATTTTTAAAATGGTGATGTGATACATTTTTAAATAAGTTTGTATTGAAGATGCTGACATAGCAAAAGAAAGTATATATCAATTATAGTTTATATCTATATATATTAAATTGACATTTTTATGGTGGTTAAAAGTCAAATATTTTTAATTAAATTGACATTAAAAAAACATTAAACTTTTCCATTTTCCTTTTAAAAAAAATATGGTGCCCGTTTACTTCATATACTCTATTAATTGATGTACAAGAATTACATTAAAAACTACAAGAAAACAATAGGTCTCCGTTTACTTTATAACAATTTTTTTTTATTCATTTTTAAAATGTTGTTATGTACGTGCTAACAAAGAAATATCATTCTCTTAAATTCAACAGATTTTGTATATATTTTTTTAAACAATGAAAATGAGAAAAAAAATTGTTTTCATAATTTTTAAAAAATGCATCTCCCCTATCTAGCTCACAATTATTTATTTCAATAATATCACTTTTTTTTATTAAAATTTTATTTTAGGAATATTATAAATGTAAAGTTTATATACTATTACTCAATCTCAACCATTAAATCATTAAGAAATATATAATTTTAGAGAAATATTAACTAATGCTCTTAGAACGTTCTTTAAAGTCTTAAATAACAATTTTTTTTTTAAATGTGTATATTTAATGTATTGGAATTTTTGAATTATTAATTTTTCTATAAGATATTTTTCTTTATTTAGAATGTTTAGCTCGTTAGCAAGCCTCATAATTTTATTATAGTTATTTATAAATTGTAATGTGTTGATGTTGCAAATCTTTAGGCCGAAAATAAGGAGTTGGGATCCACTCCATTTCTTTGTCCCTCCATTTTCTCTATTACTATAGTTTTGTGTGTAAATAACACACATTTCTAAGACATGTGACATATAATTAATATTTAGTTAATTTTATATACAACAAAACTATAGTAATGGAGAAAATGGAGGGACAAAGAAATGGAGAGGATCCTAACCCGAAAATAAGTTGCATTAGTCGAGTCAAGTCGAATTTAAGGTATAAAATATAAGGGATACAATTTGTGGAAATATAAGGGATAAAATATAAGGTATATAAGGGGTAACATATAAGGTATATAATATAATTATTTTATATTAATTTGATTATAATTTTGTGTATTTATTTAATTATTAGGTGTGGGTAATTAAATAAATGTAGGTGAAGGTGTATGATCTTATGCTAGAGCGTGGAAAGTAATTAGAGAAAGAGAAAATAATTAGAATTATTTGATTAATTAAAATAATAATTTTTGGTTGTTTATTAGAATAAAATAAATAGAATAAAAGAAAATAGAAGAAGTAGAGATATTGAGGGCAATGTAAGGTCAGTCGGTAATCTTTAAAGCAGTCTGGGGCGTTACAAATGGTATCAAAGATCTCTCTCAATACAATGTGATTTGGCGAACTAAGTGGAAGCTAGTGGACATGTAACACTCGAGGTCGAAGAGGAAAGAGAGTGGTTACATGTAACATCTGAGGGCGTGAGAGTGGTTGTCGGTGTACGAGACATGACAATGAGACACTCCTAACAACTTCTAGGAAAAACTAAATTCATATCAGAATGAGAGGGATCTTGAGGTTGTCCAGGGATGAGACTGCATGATTAAAGGAAAATTTATAAGAATTAATTGGTGCTACCCATACCAACAAGATACTTTTTTTTTTCCGGTAGCCTGTTTCATAAGAACTTTATAGTTAAACGTATTTGATTTGGAATAATTTTGGGATGGTGACCTTCTGAAAAGTTTCTCAGAAAACACGTGAGTGAGGACAAAACATGTTAAAAAGACTCGTGATGATTTGTGGGATCAGTCGATAAACCTGAAAGCAACTTGGAGTGTTACAAACGGTATTAGGTTTTTAGTGTAAAAAGAGAATCCAATAAAAATGATTATTTTGATAAATTATGTGTTTTTTTTAGAACTTAATGTTTTGTTGATTTTATTAATGTTAATTTCATGTGATATGAAGCATATAATTTTGTCTTGATATTCGTATTATATCACTTTTCATTCATTAATACATATATTGATTTGTTATATTTTGTTTAAGTAATGTAACATTATATATTCATTTATATAATATTTTAACATACATACTTATATGCTTCATTACTAATAATAATAATAATAATAATAATAATAATAATAATAATAATAATAATAATAATAATAATAATAATAATAATAATAAATAATAATAATAATAATAATAATAATAATAATAATAATAATAATAATAATAATAATAAAGATTTGATATTATTAATATTATATTTTTTTAAGAGGTCTGAGTTAGAGATAAATAATTAAGTTATTTGACTGATTTAAGTTATTTTCAATTTTTGTAAGAATTGTCAATAAAGTTGTTAGAGTTATCAATGAAATTGTCAGAGTTGTTTTAAATTATTAAAAATTATATTTTTATTTGTTTTGAGTAACTCTAACATGTTTATAGTTGTGAGAGCAGTTTTCACATTGTTTAGAGTTAAATCTGATGAGTCGTAGAGTTAAAATTAAAGAAATTTGACCCTTTAGAGTTGTTTTATTATTACTTGAGTTAGACCATCAACCAATTAAGTTCATACGAGTTATTTTTATATGTAAAAGTTGTCAGTAGAGCATTTTTTTAGCATTTGAGTTATTTTAGAGTTGTAGGAACTGTTGTAGAGTTGTTTAGAGTTGTTTAGAGACTATGTCGAGTTATAATTATATATTATTATAATTTTTAAAAGTTAAGAGTATAAAATAAATTAATAAAGATATTCAATTGAGATACTGTGAACTCATAAAAATGTATTTTTGATTCTTTTGAGTTTTTGGAATTGTTAGCTACTATTGGATAATGTTATGGGCTGTTTGGCGTGACTTAAATGAATAAAAATAATTTTTAATTGATTTTATTTATTTTATAAAAGATGGTCATGTATAGACGAGTTGATGATGTTGTGTCAGATTACTATGTTTTTTCTTGAATACTTGTTGATTTTATAAGTATGTTGTTGTGTATTATTGAGTTAAATGTGAGTTACACACACACACACACAAATATATATATATATATATATATATATATATATATATATATATATATATATATATATATATATATATATATATATATGAATTGATAAGTTTATTGAGTTGAATTATTATATGTGCTAAAGTTGTGTTGGTATGCTGAGTATTGTGTGAGTTGTTGTGGTAATCCAGAAAAGAGGATTACGCGAGTTTGTTAATGCATGTATGTTAGGATCAGAAGAGGGGTCTTAACGTATTGAATTTTGTCAATATGTTCATACATTCATGTTGACTTATGTCAAGAAACATGTTTGCTAGTTCAGAAGAAGAGACTAGTGATTTGTCCCAAACTCAGAAGATGGAGCTTGGAGCTCAGAAAAGGGGGGTCATGGGTTCAGAAGAGGGGACTCGGTTTCAGAGAGAATCAAATGTTGAGTTGGTACCACATGCATATGCATAGAGTCACATATACGTGTTGCATTGCATAGCGAGTCATATGTGCATTTTTTGAGATATATATGTTGAGTTGTGGTCGATTTGGTGAGTTGGATGTGCGAATGTAATTGATATACTTTGATTAAGATTGTGTAGAATATGTTATGTGTTTAATATCCTACCTTGCAGTATATGCATGTTATTATTAATTGTGATTCCTCACTCCTTCTGTTTGAATGTTGTCTTTACATGGGCATCATGCAGATACTCAAGAGTAAATACGCTGTTGTGAGTGGAAGCTAACTCCTGGAGCTATTTCGTTTTGTTTCGTTGTTTTAGTTTTGGTCATGCTCTAATATGTAAGACTGGGGGGCGATTTCTTTATTTTATGTTGAGATTTTTCTGAGAGACAATGTATGCTTTTGTATGTTTATGTTTTGGTGTGATAAACATTTGGAGAAGACTTACGAGTCGATATTTTTAATCATAATATGAAGTTTTATTATGGGATTTAAATTGGTGAATGTGTTAATTATGATTCCGCTACCATGATATTATATGAGTTGAATGTCGTGTAAACATC